AGCCTGGGGCTGGAGGAGGCTGGGCAGGGCAGGACCTCCAAACTGGCGAGAGCCGAGCTCTCGGAGGCCGCCTTTTCGCTGCCCACCGCGCTCCGTGCGCCATCGGAGCCATCCAGCGGGACTGGATTCGGCTGTCCCCAGTGGGGACAAACCCACGAGGGAGCCCGACTTGCGGGTTTTGTCACTGTGGGGCCGGTACTGCCCGTGTCTGCCCGTACAAGCGCTGCACGTTGCCCGTCGCCGCGTGCGGCGCTGCTGTCCCAGGCCGCCCTAAGGGTTTTCCTGCTTCCTCCTCAGCCATTTTCCACATCGCTACTCTGATGCCCACGAAGGATTTGGATAAATATCGCTGCGACAAGAAAAGGCACCTTGGGAATGATTTTGTTTCTATCGTTTACAACGATTCTGGAGAAGACTTCAAGCTGGGAACAATCAAGGTACAGGGTTTTACTTGGGAGCGGGTTTTATAAACCTGGGTCTGGTGGGTGTTGCCTTGGCAAACAGCGTTGGGCTCGGGAACGGAGGTCAGCTGCCTTGGTGGGTGTGAGGTTATGGCATCCCCAAGCAGTTTTGAGGTCCTGGTAGTCCATACAACTGTTTTATTGCCTTCTCCTTAGGGTCAGTTCAACTTTGTGCACGTCATCATCACGCCACTCGACTATGACTGTAACCTGGTGACGCTGCAGTGTCGGAAAGGTAGGAATCCCCTTTGTTCTCAGCCTTTCCTGTACTGGTGGTACAATAACCGCCTTCACTGTGCAGTGGTTTTGTGTTTCCAAAGTAAACACTTCCAGTAGAAGCTCTGTGAAACCAGTTTGCTGCCCAGTTATGTCTGGATCAGTCCTGTTCATCTGTCTTCCCCAAGACAGGAGGTATCTCCCCATTGTCCAGCTCGGACCTTCTTCAAGCTCAGGACAAAGTGCCAGCAGAGGAGAGCAGGTCCCTCCAACAACGGGAGGAGGGTTGAGGCGGAAGGTCCCTGTGGCTTTGGCCTCTGCTGTCCCTCCCAGCGCCTCAGGGCCTGATACTGGGGAGCTGGTCGTGGCACTGGCCGTGCTGGTGCAGTGATCTGCAGGGGCGTTTGCTTTCCTGGGCACTTCTGGGGGGTTTTGTGCTCCCGCTTTGGTTCATGTGGTAACGAGCCCCCCAGGCTCTCCCCAAACCTCGGGGCGGCCGGAATTTGTGAGCCAATTGCGTGAAGCTGCGGTTGGGGCTGTAGAGCTCGAAGGGACCTTCTGAGAGGCCGTGATGCCATCCCTCCGGTTCGCAGCACTTGCCTGTTTCTCACCAGCAACCTTTGGCTTGTTCTTAACTGCCTTACAAGAATATTATTTTTTTTTTCTTTTTCCTGTAAAACGAAGACATGGAGGGTCTCGTAGACACGAGCGTTGCTAAGATCATCTCCGATAAGAACCTGCCGTTCGTAGCCCGTCAGATGGCCTTGCACGCGAACGTGAGTACCCCTGCGCTCCCCGAGACCTTCTGTCAGCTGGTGTCTTGGTCCATCACCAGCTTCCAGGGAAGCCGTAGGGCTTGCTGAGGCCAGTACCCGAGTTCTCTGCTCCAGCTGTTGCTGTCAGCCTTTAGGTCAGCGTTCGCACGTGAACAGTTAGAACTTGGGATTGCAGTTGCTGTTGAACGGCGCTGAAATGTTCCGTCATGGTGGTTATGTGAACGGCCTCCTCTCTCTCCCTGCTTCTCCCCACCCTCCCCAAAGCAGATGGCGTCCCAGGTTCACCACAGTCGCTCGAACCCGACGGACACCTACCCATCCAAATGGATCGCGAGGCTGCGGCACATCAAGCGCTTGAGGCACCGGGTGAGTGAAGCGTCCGCTCCGGGGGTTCGGCAGGGCTCTGCCCGGGGGGTTTACTGCCAGGCAGCTGTCAAACCTGCCTGAGTGAGGGGGGGAACACGAGCACGAAGGTTAGAGCCCAGCTCTTGGGGGAAGGACACAGGGGGTGGTGCAGGTTGAGCCTGGCGAGCTTCCCAAGAGCTTCCCAAGAGCTTCCCAACAGCTTCCCTGGCAGCCAGGGGCGTGGGCACCCGCAGCCCCCAGCCCCGCGCTGGGGTTGGCAGGACGAGCCGAGGAACCCGCCCTGCCCTGCCCTGCCCCCAGGGCGAGCGAGAGGAGCTGCGGAGAGCGCGGAGCTCATCTCTTCTCCTTCGACTTTCAGCTCCGGGAAGAAACCCAGTACCAGACTCCCGGCCTTCCCCTGCAGATGCATCCCTCTGCTCCGACCAAGCCCCCTCCCCAGACCCCGCAGGACCCCCCGCCCACCTACGAGACCGGGCAGAGGAAGCGGCTGATCTCCTCGGTGGACGACTTCACCGAGTTCGTGTAGATCCCGGCGGGTCTGTTCGGGGACGGACGAGGCAGCGAAAGCGTTTTCCCTGCGTGCCGACGCCGAGGAGCGGGGTCCGGCCGTGCTGCCTGCGCGTGGCCTCGGCACTGAACCCTCCTGGGAGGCCTGAATGTCCCTGTCTCAGCCTGCCACCGGTGTCTGGTGAGGACGCTGTATCCCCAGCAGATGCTCCCGGAGAGGACCAGCTCCACGTGTTTTGTTTTTATTTGGTTTGAGCTGTTTCAAGGCTTCTGTATCTGATGGGAACTTCCTTGCAGAACCTTTCTTTGGGCTCCTTCCGCACCAGCGTCTGGTGGAAGCAGACAAAGGATGACATTCTGCAGTTCATCACGTAGTGGGAAGGTGCAGGAATGGTGGGAATTTTGACGACTTTATTGGGAATTCAATACAAAGTACTGAAAATCCAGTCATTGTTTCTAAGCACCCTGGAATCCCAGCTCCTCTCCAGGCCTCGGTGCCTCTCAGCTCTTGAGCTCTTCAGGCTCTCAGACCTGTTCTGCTGCCAGCTCTGGTAAGAGTTAATCTGGGTTCTCAAGCGACCTGCCAAACCGCTTAAATTCCCACGGATCTGTCTCCTTTTTTGAGAGATTCACAGCAAACCCTCCCTCGGGGAGCAGAAATGATTTTGCTACTACCAGGAAGACAGACGGGGGCGTGTGGATGCCACTCACTGGAGCAGCCGAACAGCCGAGATGG